TAGCTAGAACTAGCTCCTGAGGGAGTCTATTTCACATTTTCACAGCTCTAACTGTAAAGAAGCCTTTCCATACGCGAAGGTTAAACCTCTTTTCCTATTTTGCAGTGACCTTAAAGTGAATAATTTGGCACCAAGCTCACTATATGGACCATTTATGTATGTATACATGTTGATTGTACCCCCTTAATCACCTCTTCTCCAGGGAGAACAAATTCAGTGCAGCTAATATTTCCTCATAGCTGAGTTCCCCCATGCCTCTTATGAGTTTAGTTGTCCTTCTCTGTAGTTTCTCCAATTCCATAACATCCTTTTTTTTTTTTTAAATATTTTTTTATTGAGTTTCCAGTAAAGTATCAAACATCAAAGCATAACAAAGAATACAGAACATGCTCATGTCGTACTGCCATTAAAGAGATGCATGTAAGGACAAAGAAAAACCAAAACAAAAAGGACAATAAGAAATACTATCATTAGAAATGGTACATAGCAGGTAAGATTGCACAAATTGCGATATGATGGTACTGTTGTAATGCCTGATCCGGTGAAATAACATCCTTTTTTGTGAACTGGTGACCAAAACTGAACTGCATATTCCAGAAGAGGTCTTACTAATGCTTTGTACAGGAGCAGGATTATGTTTCTATCTCTGGAGTCTATACCCCTTTTAATACAAGAAAGTATTTTGCTTGTTTTAGAAACTACAGCTTGACATTGCATGTTATTAGTGAGTCTATGGTGTACCAGAACACTCAGATCTTTCTCCATCATTGACTCCCCCAAACATACTCCCCCTAGAGTGTATGACGCATGCATGTTTTTAGTCCCCAAGTGCATAACTTTACATTTATCAACATTAAACCTCATTTGCCAAATAGATGCCCAATCACACAGTGCATTCAGATCTGCTTGTAGGTTGGAGACATCCTGTAAGGGCTGTATTCAACTGCATAGCCTGGTGTCATCGGCAAAAGAAATAGTACTTTTAATCCCCAACTCTATATAATTTATAAATAGATTAAACAGTAAGGGGCCCAACACTGAACCTTGGGGGACACCACTAACAACCTCAGACCATTCAGAGTATGAATCATTAATCACCACTCTCTGAATACGGTCTTTAGTCTTTAATCCCAAAATATCCATGGCAAGTCTGACATTTTTTGGAACCTGTGCTAAATTATGGTCCTTCCTTCCAAAATATTAAATGTTGGGACACTAATTTTATCAATGACCCAAGCTTGCTCGTGATTTGACATGGCCCTCCATCTGTTCTAGTTGGGTTTGGGGTATCTAGATGAGCAATCCACCTCAGACCTTTCCCAGCCTGTTACTTTATTTAGCCAGGGGGTTTCAAAGTAATTATCAGACCATCCCATGTATTAATCTTCCAATAAGTTTTAAAACTTGGGTCCCCTTCTAATGTTTTTCATTTAACAATACCAACATTCTGAGGAATACATCTAGACCACTTTGAGTTATGTTAATAAAAACTGCATATATAACCATGAAAAATTACAAAGATTTACTATGCGGGTGTACATGGCAGACATGATACAAATATTTGTTTCCACAATGGGATACTTTCTATAAGTTTGTTTATACTATTTGTCTATGTATTAAAACCTTAAGTCAGTTGTGGGTCATTATCAAAGTATGGCTTTATGAATCAATGATACATATACTGTATCACTTTCTGTTACATGGCTAAAAAAAGTTTCACACCAAGCAATCAGTTTAATGATGTATTATGATGATGATCATGATGTATTAAGACACTTATGTAATATAATCGACAAAGTAAATGTAATTTAAATGAACTGCTTAAAATATATAACAGAGTTTTCCACAACAAGAAGAAGATTCCTTTCGTCTTAATGCCCACTTGCCTTTTCAACAGCATTTCTTCTGCAACCCTCATTTTATCTTTCCCTTTTCTGATTGACCTCTACAGTCATTAGTCCTTAATTTCTATTGCTCCTAATGCTATTATCTATTTATTGAAACATATATATACTGTACTGTATATAACATATATAATATTGCATATTTTGCACTCTGTGCTGGACTTGGAGCAATTTTGTTCTCATGATTCTTTGCAAATCACTTTAACAGATAGAAAAAGAAAGAAAGACAGGAAAGTGTAGTAATTAAAAAAAAACCCCCAGCATGAATCTAGATTTCACAACTGAAGTTTTTTAGCTTATAATGCAAAAATACATTACGCAGAAAAACAACGCAGAAAATGTTCCTTTTCCTGAGTGGTGTTAAAATGTCCTTTTAAAAACACCTCTATGTCCCCTATAGAGTGTTTTGGTTGTAAGAAATTATGTCCAGTAGGGACACAGTGAATGTGAGCACTCTCAGAATGCTGATCATTTATATACATTACATATACATATCCATTGCTTAACCCCTTCGTGACTGACGACGTACAGTGTACGTCGCCAGCATCGGGGCAACATATCTATTTGACTATTTCATCTATTTTACTAAGATTCTCTGTATCCATAGACTTTCTTTTTAGACCTTCTTTAAGTGATATTAAAGTCAAAAGGTTTTTAAGCTATGGATACAATGGATGCTGCTTCTTGATGTTTATAGATGTTAGTTTCCTGCAGAATCAGCTGTTCCTCTATGCAATGGGCCTGTTATCCTGTTTTAGGGTGGCTCCATTCCCCTGCAGGGTCCTATAAGGACACCTTTGTGTGCGATTTAAGCTACATGTGTCTCCAGAAACACACAGGCATGGCAAAGCAATCCACTCCAACCCCCCTGCTTCCTGCTTCCCCCTTCGCCCTACAAAAAGCTAGTAGATGGACAGTTGCTAGAGACTGAGCTGTCCCTTATGATCGTGTACTCAACAGGAAGTTCAGGTAAGCAAAGCTAAGAGAGTTGGAGCTAGCTTAGCACAAAAAAAAATATCTCCGCTCCAATTCCTCAGCCACCGACAGGACTCTCTAGGTGCTGGTTAAATGGGTGCGTTCTCACATTAAAATATAGTAGAATACAAACAGACCGCACTTCCAAAGAGTTCCAATACTTCAAGCTTTATTTGACATCCACAGTAAATCCATTTTAACAGTATTTAAAATGATAAACACCATGCAGCCTAAAAAAAATTATGAACACCAGCACCGCAAACCCCCGACCGTCTAGAACCACTTACGCATTTCACCCGTAGGTTTTTACCAATTTATATACTGTTACAATTCTACTATAGTTGGAGGTAGCTGTTTAAAAACATGATGCCTGTACATGTTTGAGTAAAAATGTAAAGAAATACTTTGCTGGACAATGTATATTTGTTTGATTTGGATTCATTATTGAAAAAATGTTTGAGCATTTAATGCTACTTTAACAAATGGTTAATGATATCCTATAAATAAATAGCATGGATCATGTGTTATTTATTACATCAATGATCCATCAGATTGATAACTGGATAATTTAAAAAAACATGTTATTATCTATATAAATCTTTACCTACTGTTAGGCAAAAATTAGACCCTTAAAATAAACAAAGCTGGAATTTTAGGTTACCTTACTTTACCTAAACAACTTTTGGCTGAATGAAGTATTGTGAAGGATATTATGACATCTGAGTTGTGCTGTAAGGATGTGGTTCTGGATAAAGGTTGAAAATGGCTGCCAAATGTAAATGTCAGGGCTGTGACGTTGACCTTTTTTTGGATGCAGGGAAAGGTTGACTAATCCACCTCCATTCAGCTGACTTTTTTTCTTTATATCTGCTCTACCTATTCAATACAAAAGCTTAACCCCAGCTCAATTACATTGTCTGCAGAATTAGTTTAATATAGATATAAAATAAATCTTAATGAAAATGAATAAACATACAATATTTTTTTTTACATAAAGATTGTTATTAGTAGAGATCAGCATATCCACTGGCCAAATTTAAGGTTTGTGGACAATTGAGCCAGACGATGACAGAGAATAATCTGTGAAGATTTCAAATTCTATGACTAACCTGCTTAATTCAGTCATCTTTTTGGCTACTTTACCAAAAAAGGTTGCCAGCCTGGAGAAGGCACGAAAAATAAACAATCCTGGCCAAAATAACTGATTTGGAAAAATTCTCTAGTTCAGCTCACTTTCCAGTTCAGCTATTTTGTCCTAGATTGTTCACTTCTCCTGCCTTCTCCAAATTCTTCACCCTTTAGTGAATAACCCTGTAAGTATGTGGGTTTGTATCCATATAGCATGATGACTGTGAGTATGCCGGCCTCCTGCTCTGCTAATACCAGTCCTTATAACCACCTGCATTGCGCAGGTTCTTCAAGAGAGAGGAAAAGATAACAACCCCTCAGTGCTGATGGACACAAGGCTATTTAATCACTGGTGCACAGTGTAAGGATTCAGAGGGGTTTACATATAGCTTACATGCTCCTCTAGACCTTAACCCACTACAACTTTAAATTTAAAAGTCCAGCACTAGCTTAAAAAACATAATTAATGAAAAGAGTTAAATAATCCATAAATGCCTTCTATCTTTGCTGATCTGTGCTTCTTCCCACTAGGGTTAGAGCCAGGGAAACAAAACACCTCTCCACCTTCACCCCGTAGCTCCCAGCCCAGAATTAAATAACCTAATGAGTGTGAATTTCACTCTCCAGTTCCCCGTACTCTTATTATTGCTAATTTATTCAAATCATTGCAACAATGCTTACCTGATGCTTACAAGCACATGGTATGGTTATAAGTATGGCAGTTGCACAAACATTTTCACCCTCTTGCTGTGCAGATACTATACCATATTTCTGGAATGCTGAGTTGATATATATTAGAGGAGTGTTGTATTTGTTGTTTTTTTTTTTCATTTTGCTACAAAAAAAATATAAAAAGGGTTTAAAAATGCTTAAAACTAGAGATACCAACAGAACACCACAATAGAGAGAAGATCAGGCTTTTTGCTGGCAAAGAGGATTTAATTCTAATTTCTAGTTTTGTCAATTTCACTGTCTACATTTTCTTTTCTGTAGGCACAACTGCACTTTACCTATTTCTACTAATGCATCCATACATCATTAGTAACCTTCCTAATCCAAAGACCTTTGAGGAAGTCCAATTTTTTAATGGAAACAACTATCACAAGGGGATTGACTGGTAAGATGAATTAAATAGAAATGAAAATAATGCATTATTTTAGATGTTTCAACATGCCTTTCTTAATACCAGATACTGTACACAGAACTGGAGTTTATTGAGAAAACTTGAATAGTATCAAGGAGTAACGTAAAGGAAATCTGTAATTCAGCTAAAAAAACAATATGGTAGGCATCAAAATGCAACAGATTCATCTAAGTTCTTGGCCATATACTTATTCTGAGACCATTGCGTCACTCACAAACACTTCACTATTTCACAACTAGTATAGGTAGAATAAGCACTAGTAAGACGCACACCAAAGTTAGTGCTCAAGAAAATATATTGCATAAATTAGTATGAAAAAATGGACTATATGTTTATATACAGTATTTGTCAAATAAATGCAGCATAATAACATACATTTTCACAGTAGAAAAAACAGTTGCAGTGCTTTGAGACTTTAATAGTATTACACAATTATACTAAAAAAAATAACTTTTTTAAAGGGGTCACCCACTGTGGTGTTCACCCGTGGCTGGGCAAACACCATTCTGTATTGCATTACTGCCACTAAGTTGAACCGAGGAGCAAAGTAATGCTGTGTGGGTAATGTTCACTGGGTGTTCCCTTTATAATTCAGCCCCTAAGGGATAGGAAGCAATAAATAATAAATATAAAACACTGTGGTTGTGTAAAGATGCTGACACAGTATCAACCAAAAACAAAAAACTGGAAATAAATTGGTGAATGTTTACAAATATGCAATATAAACAATTCAACAGCAAAGTACTGTATATGTTATGATTGGTGTTGGACTTGGTTACCTAGAGCCCACCAGAGGAAGTAAGAGTGAGCACCTATGCAATAAGCCAGAGGAAGTAAGAGTGAGGCATGCAATAAGCCACTGCAAGGAATATTTATGGCTTATTGTGAGGGGGCGTGGTTAAATAGGCTGGTTTAACAGCTTCTGCTTTCCGTCAGTATAGAAAATAGGGCCAATTGGAGCACAAGTGTTTTTATTTGTTAACGTTTTTCCTTCAGTTTTACAGTAGAAGGACAGCCTTTCCTACCTGGATGTCATAAAAGACTAACTGAGATAGCTCACATGTAACAAAAGAGTGCCAGATCATGCTGTCATGGAACAAATGACTGTCAGAGACTGCTCAAATATTAATGCCTACCATTGTTCTTTCATTCACATAAAGGTGTTTCTGTAGACAGTCCACACTAATTTAGCCAAATCTAACTAGTAACTAGTAACTTGTTATTTATGTGAAACACTAGTGGCAAAAAAAACAAAACCACTGAATAGTATGTGACATCAACAGATATATTCAGCAAGATCACTTAGGTGTACTTTACAAGTTGCCACAAAATGCCCCCAGGTGTCAAAAATCATGCTAGTATTTTCTTCTTTCCTGTGAATTCTGACATTACATTATAGCTTTATTGACATGCATATCAAGCCTCAGTGATGCCACAAGACATGGCTTGGCATATTGTGACTTGTATTTCCATGGGTGATATAGTGCCTTTGTAAAGAGGCATTGTTAAGATTGTAAAAAAAAACTTTGGGCAACCTTGGGCAAACAAGAGAAACAAACAAGAGGTTATGGTGCACTTAGCGTGCTATGGCAAACCAAATGCACTGAACAGCAGGCTCGCCCTAAAACGGCATGGTTAAATTGTGCCTAAGCCTAGTCATTGTATACACTCAGGACGTGGATGAAGAGGGACAGGAAGGGGAGCTGCAATGCCCCCTCCCTGGCTGTGGGCCTCCTGGGCTGGAATGTAGGGCACTGCTACATCAGAACTGCCAGTATTATGAGCACCCACAAGTGAGTGATGTCCCATACTTCCTGTCCTTTCACAGTACCGAGCCTAACACTCCGTGCATGTTCATCATGTTCACCACAAAGGAATGTTTGGTGCCTGGGTGCCTGAGTGATCAGCATGCAAGGTCAGCTTTAACTAGTCTCTAGGTTGGTGCTGATGATCTCTGATAATTGAAGAGAAAAGCTTAGAGTATATTTCCACTTCTGCAGTCAAATTTGAGAAAACCACTCTGTGTATTTGTTACGTGTTCCTATTCACACAGCATGATGAAAAATGTATATTTTTTTAATATTTATTTTCTTTACATACAGCAGACAATATGACTGAATCAATATTTTTCTCAGCACCTTCACAGTTACCTGTTCTTATAGAAAGACTTAAGACTGAAATTTGTGGATTGAGTTTCTATAATTAATTTCATTAATATAAAACGAGGAATCAGGGTTGTTATCCTTTAACCAGTTGACATCCGCGGTGTTAAACCCCCTTCCCATCCAGGCCATTTTTCAGTATTCAGCGCTGCGGTACTTTGACTGACAATTTAGAACAAAATGAGCTAGCACAGTGCTGGTAGGGTTAAACCCCTCACAACCTCTTCTAACATTACAAAGAAGGAGAAGCAAGTAGAAATGTGAACCCTTAAGAAGCCAAATAGAATCCCTTAACCAAGTAAAAGCAATGTAAACTGCAAGAAGCATTTTTATTTTTATTTTTGCCTATGATATGTGAATTGGAACATGTAACAAATAAAAAACATTGTGCTAGCCCAATTTGGCGGTGAAAGTGGAAATATACTATTGAATCGGGCATACTATGAGCGTGGCTCAGTGCGGACTTGCAGAGATGCAATGAGGTGCAGGCATTTATGAGAGACTGAGTGAAACTCGCAGTTGCAGCTGAGAGGGATCCAAGGGGAGAGGGTTGTGCAGTTTGGCATTGAAACAATGTCAGTGGACCTTCTAACAGGCACCCACCAGAGAAATTAGGCAAATTTTCCTTCACTCTATCTCCCTGTTTCATTTGATGTATCACATGAAGCAGCTAGTCTGTTCTGATATGATGACTGACCAACAGCATTCCCAATGTGAGGTAGAAGGGGAGAATGTATGCATACATACATGTATATATACATAACTCACAGTTTTTTTGTTTTTTTTTAGAGATAGTGTTTTACATAACAAGTTATGTGTGGTTACAATTTTACTCACCATGTGTTTGGCATAAGGCAAATCATTATGTGGCTTAACCTGTCTACAGAAAAACATCTATGTCATTAGGAAAACCATGGTACACATTAAACCAAAAGTGTTTATTAACATGCAAACATTCTCTGGCCAACTCTTAATGAAGTCTCTGTCAGTCTTTTACAACATATGAATAGTGACAAGGAATAGCAGATAGAGTTGACCATCCTGCTACTATGATAGCATTTGTGATTGAAAAAAGTTTTCTCAAAACTTTCCTTTTTATTGAGTACTAAGGATAAGTCATTGCTGTTAAATCAAGCCTAATAAATATTGTCTATACACAGTAAGTCACATCCATCTTGAGGTGTTTCCTCACTGTTGTTTCCTTTGGCAGGACCCCAGGTACCTCAGTATAATATTGCTACTACATGCTTCACAATGTGATTGTACAGAGCTACCAGGGCGGGAGGTCATCAGGTACAGTGTGTGGCTAAACCTCTGCATACCTAAAGCCCTCACCAGACATCTTGTAAGCTTGTTGCTCTAAATCTGCCCTAATTCTGTTAGCCATTTTTCCTTGACCTTCATGTTCTTGTCTAACTCTGACCTGTAGGACTCTCAGACCTGACAACTTGCTTATCTCCTAACCATGTAACCTAACTGCTCATTTGGTTCCATGGGGATTGTGTCTTGTCTGATCCCTCTGTTACAGAGTCAGTCCATTTGGTACTGACTTCATCCTGCTTAACTTTCCTACTTTTTCTTTACGCTCGGTATCAACTTTGGCCTGACTACCCCACTTTTCCTAGTTCATCCTCACTAAGGGACAGCCACCTTGTGAAGATCAGGAGATCTGACACTTACATTCCCTAAGGACATCTGAGTACTGGACTACACACATAAATCATATTTAAAAGTTGGCTACTATAGGTGTAGTCTACTGCTGCAGTGACCACCTGGCCCATGATTTACAGTGTACATACAGCAACAAAGCACAGGACATAAATATGACAGTAAAGAAAATTAACTATACACATTAACCCCAAAATAGAATTATGCGCTATCAATTTATGTAGATGTCCACACAGAAATAAGCATTTTCTAAATAGTACATTATAGTATGCAACCTTTTGAAGGCAAACATAGGTGCCAAAAATATATGTAAACTAAACATATGTCAAAGATGGATAAATTGACTATGTTAGCCTTTTCTTCAAAGCTTTACATACAGCATAATACTGTTATTTATGGGTTTTGTGGGGACAAAAATCAGAAAAATGGACATGTGCTTGTGTATATGCTTTCCATGTATATCTGTGCATATTTTCGTGATTATTTCTTTTTAAATCATGTTACATTCATTTTAGTGCCTGACCTAAGTGATATATTTTGCTCATACATGAGCTACTGATGTCATACATCCATCAGCTATCTCTCAGTTATTCCGTTTTTTTGCGTGCCCCAGAACCTGATGAGCCTATATCCTGCCATATTTTGAGTGGAAGTCTGGTACACAGGCTCCATCATCTTGTGACTGGCACTAGAAAGGACTCTACCCATAACAATGATATGATGTAATTTCCAGTATTATGCCTCTGGAATGAAATGTGAGAGCACACACGTAAAAATATATTTCCTTTCATTTAGGTAAACATTAGTTTAGCACACATATTTGTTTTGCCACAATTATTAAGCCTATGGCCCTACAATCTAATGGAGTCTCCGGTTCTGACCTCTAGCCATCCAGTGTGCAATTAAAGGCTGTTTGGGCTTATGGAGCAAGAATACCTGTCCCCTGTGATCTCTTCAACCTAATAAGAAAAAGCATACTACCTTAATAGGCATTTTTAGGTGCCAGGAGGCTGTATGCTACTTTTTTTGCCACCAGGAGGTGGGCATAGCAGTACTTATTGTGGAAATGTTGACACCAAAAACAAATAAAAATAGAAGAAACTCTCCTAAGTGTACCTAATCCTAATGTATTATCTGTAAAGCACACTCTAAAATATAACCCTTCTTAACACAACCCCAAAAGCAAGCCTTGAACTCTTAAACCTTACCCCTAAATAAATCCTTAACCTGAATCTTTTACTTAACCCTAACTCTTAAACAACCCTTAAACCAAAGCTAAAATTTAAAAAATCACTCATTATTACCACCTTGCTAAAATCAGTGGCTGTCACTGCTTCCTAAAAATAATATGCCAAAGCAAATTATAAATGTTGTTAACTTAAAAGTCAAGTGAGAACATACAAGAATATAACAGGTCTTTAGCAGTTAGTCTTAATCCGGGTGTCTATCACAACCACTCTATTTGCCAGAGAATTAGAAATTAGTTTACTACTTAGATCGATGAGCTCTAGCTTGTATTAAAATGTGTTCATACTCCAGATGCTGTATGTTTGTGTCAGAAATCTTCATGAATGAATTGCTCTCAGTTTTCAACTGATTGTACCCACCAAAACACATGAATATGTGCTTGCTGTTCCTGCCTGTGATTTACAGATGCCACAACTTTTGTTTAGTTTCTGTCAAACCTAGAATTTGGCCATACAGGAAAAGCAACGTCCTATCTTTAGCCAAAACTTTTTTTTTTTTTTTCATTTTGGTTATACATGGAGAAATGTAATACTTTACTTTAACTGCAAGACAAGGAATTAAGAAATTGATCATCACTAGGACAGGAAGTCACAGATTGTGTTGGTCTATTGACACTATCATGTTGCAGGAACACATGTTACATCATGTGATGTGGTGCCATTCATTGTGAATGGCACCCCAACTTACTTTCCTGATGTATGTGCCTTGCAGTGCATCGTAACATGCAACAATGCTCTAATGTGAATTACGTTGCACTGGCACAAATGGTGCATGTACTTTTGTGGTGTGGTGTGGTGCATTTGCAGCCCATTTACTTTGCTGCCTTTAACCAAATGCATGTTGATGGCATGATAACATGATAGTGTGAATGGGCCATATTAATACCCTGACAAAGGTTCTAATGCTTCCCAGTTTTACTGACCAAACTTTTGACTTCATTATTCTTGCATGTGTTATCTGAAAAATAACTAACTTGAGGCATGCTAAAGTCTTCAAAGCATATTGTTTTCTTATTGTCTTCAAGGTACATGGATTTTTTCCCTTACCCATCTAACACCACTTCAGATTTCCTGTTTGAGAAGAGTGCAAATTATTTTCACTCAGAGGAAGTACCCAAACGAGTTGCAGCACTCCTCCCAAAAGCAAAGGTTATCACCATACTCATTGATCCATCTGATCGAGCATATTCTTGGTACCAGGTATAGTATCTTGATAAGCATACACATTTTTTTTTTTTAGCAAATAGTCTTTATTTGAATTTTATGAATAAGAAAAATACAATAAGACATTTTAGTCTGACCCCGTGGGGTGCAGACGGCACTTTGTTACATACAACGTAAAGCAAGAAATAACAGCTAATACTGTGATATCAGTAAAGGTATCAAAATACAATGTTTCCGTGGTATAACAATGCATTTAAGAGAAATGCAGACCTAAGGCATAACATCGTTTCGTTTCCAAACAAGCTAGAGAACAACTAAGCATCACAATCACCTGGTTGCAACGTAGGTTCGCCTGAACCTGTTGGATTATTGATGAGACTATATAAGTTCAGAGGGAATGAGAATGAGAACGGGTATGGAAAATAGAAGTACTTGGAATGGAGTGGACTGAAATGGAACACAATATAATATAATGTAATATAATATAATAATATAATATGAGGGACAAGGGCGATCACATTATGTGATAAGATAAGATAACTTACATTTAGATGTAGATTCAAATTTAAAAGTAACATTAAAATTGAAATAGAAATAGAAATAGGTGGACACTGAGGAGGTTGGGAAGCACCCAAGCAGAACCGTAAGTGCATTAAAGGACATCCAGAACCCCTAGAGATCCGCCCAATTTTGCGGTGTGATACCATACCGTGTCTTTGAACAACGTCATGAGTTCTTTCAGCTGTGTGGGTGACAGGGAGGTTGCAAGGAATGAGGTCCATGTATCAAAGAATTTCGGCATACACATTTTTAGTTATATTGTTAAATACTAAATACTTTGCAGTATGATACGAGATACATTAGCTGTGAAAAGTTAGTATGGTTTAATGCAAGTTTCTATGTTTTCTTTTATACAGGTTGCCTGAAAACAGTTGTCTTTGCAATGAATACTGGGTTTTCAAAGCTGAAAACCCACATCAGCAACTTACTTTGTGGTCAGCAACAATGAGGTTCCATAGAAAGGCTTCAGTATTAAGAAAGATGTTCTCTACATGCAGTCATGCCCACCCTTCCATTTAAAAAAGGGGGACGGTCAAGGACAAGACACTGAGCACAAGCAGCTGCTGTAAAAATAGTCCACTTGAGCAGTACGTGAAATGCAGGAGACTTAAACACTACAATGTTGAACTGGAATCACGGGGAGCATTGTAAAGTTTAGGCAACACTTCACTTGCAGCTGCTGCAGACGGTTCACCAAAATGACATTTCTAGGCTGCACTTCCCTGCATAGCAGGGCTACTGTAAGAGTGGATTATTTTACAACAGCATATTGACCTTTAAAGTGGCCCTGGCAATATGGGGTTAAAGCTGAACTAAAGGCAGCCTTAGACTGGTAAATTGATACGTTAAGTTCCACTTTAAGGCTTCAATCACACTATAGTGTGAATGTGCATTTAGGAATCCCTGAGGGATGAACATACAAATTCTTTCAACAGCAATCCTAAACATGCCATTTAGAAGCGGCAGTCCACCGGCTCTCCATAAGCGTATGTGATATGATTACATGTGGTTAGGAATAGATCACTATAGTGATAGTGATCTATTCCTAACCACATGCAATCTTATCATATACGATTACATTCGGAGTGCTGGTGGACTGCTGCTTTAAAATGAGGCTGCTGTCACCTGATCATTAACTTAGACGGGTGACAGTGGCCACTTCTGAATGGCATATTTGGGATTTCTGCCTCAGGAATTCAAAGGTTCCTGCTGCAGGGATCCCCAAATTCACATTCACAGTATAGTGTGTTTTGAGCATTAAGGCGGGACTTGACCTACAAATTTACCAGTCTACCAAAACAGTTACTTTAAAGGTTTGACAACTGTGGAGGTTGCCAAAGTGTTTATTTCAGCTCTCAATCAAACTTTCAAGCCCTCAAGTTACTGGTGTCATAGCTGTATAGCTGAACACATGTGCACCACCATTGGAACTGCAATCTAAGTAGTGAAGGATAGGAGAGTGTATTTCTGCTTTAACTTTCTGGTGGCACCTATCATAAATATCCAGTTTGTTTCTGATTCCTGGGCCGCTGCAGGTATACAGTCCATATGGTTGTATGGGAATACATGCTAGCCTGCTGGTTCCTCCCACTGGTTCCTATGTCAATACAGGATATACGAGTGGCAAGGCAACAAGTATTCAACATGCCTAAAGTGTCAGATACCTGCAGCAGCTTGGTAGAAACAGCCCAGCAGACTTTCGACACATGGGCCGCCATAAACAAAAATTCAGCATTGTGCCATACTGGCTTTATGTGTGGGACACATAAAGTGACAGGGTCACTTTATAAGTCCCACAGTTCAAGTCGCAATTCACTTTATGCAGGGTTTAAATAAAAAGTGAGCTCTATTCCATGCTGCCCCCCATCTCTGCAAGTCACACAGAAACAGCAGAAGTATCAAAAGCTGAATTAGCAGAGTGCAATGTCTGTGAATATGTCTCTGTACTACAAAATTCTCTCTCAGACTGTGTTCTTAAAAAAGACCACTAAGAAGGGTATATAGAAGGCTGTAAAATATAGCAGCTTTAAAAAGCACAAATTATGCTACTTATTACTGTCATTTCATGTACTCACCACACATCTCCTTAGCCTTCATACCTCTTGCCCATCAATTGTACTCACAGCAGGAAAGAGAAATAAGCCCTCACTAGGCACCCAAAGAAATTGATGATGTATTAAACTGTATGAGAGTAACCTAAATATGATGGTATCTTGTTATGCTCCATTGTTTTGCCATCAAACAAGTGTTGTTTATGCAGGTGCAGTATTAGTCACCTAGTACAAAATGTAATTTGCCCCCTTCCCGCTCAAATAAAAGTGTTGATTCTTCTATCATGTGATGCCAAATATGTCGGTCTTATCAAAAGGAAGGACATCTCACACACCATCCACTTAAAATGACCATGTCAGCATAGCATCACTTGTAGCCAAAACCATACCTGCTAAGGGACGACGGAATATGCTTGTCATGAAACCAGTGGCGTAACAACCGGGGGTGCGGGGGGGTCACTTGCCCCGGGCGCAAGACTGAGGGGGGGCGCCGTCACGACCCCCGCTAAACGAAGCCATGGCTCCCTCTCCCTGACACGATCACCTGGCTGTCATCGGGCAGCCGCTCGCTCTTCCGAGGCCACTGCTGGCGGCCCTCTACACTGCCTGATTGGAGGGCGCGTCTGCCTGATCCAGCCAGCCAAAAAAAATGTTCTGCCCCGGGCGCCCATAACTCTGGTTACGCCACTGCATGAAACACCACAGCTTTGCTACTTTCTGGCTGCTGCAAATATTTTACTGGTTGGATGGGTCGAATACCTGTATACCCTGCACCCAGTGGTTTCTTATGGCAGCCTATTTATCCTGGAGTAATATATGTGCCAATTGGAGAAACCACAGCATGCATCAGGAGAGCAGGTATTCCATATACCTAAATTGTAGAATAATTGCAATGACTGGGGAGCAGCAAAGATTGTTTCAAGAAGCAGGGAACTGGAAAGGTAAGTATATACCCTCTTCTTTTAGCGTGTGTGGTTTTACTGCTCCATGATATTGTTTTATAGCATTTGTGATACATAAATTGGAAAGGTGAATTAGCAAGCATGTTTTTTTGGTTTATTTTTAGCATCAGCGATCTCATGAAGATTCCACTGCCCTTAAATATAGCTTCTATGAAGTGATAACAGCAGATCACACAGCTTCCTTGGAGTTACACACCCTACAGAAAAGATGCCTTGTTCCAGGCTGGTATTCAACACATTTAGAACGATGGTTAACATACTTCCCACCCTCACAGGTAATATAACAGTGTGAAATTATTGTTGTAAATCTGGTCCAAGGTTTTAATTTATGTTGAAATGGTGTTTCAGAAACTAAATATTTGAATTGCACATATGTAGGGTGAAATAGTGTCAATAATTAAAAAGAATTAAAGTCAAAATAAAAAAGGAAACAAACAAAGAAATTCTCCCCGTTTAACAAAAATAGTACCAATAAAGATGTAGCACTTCTTTTTTAACCTTCTAGTGCATAATCTGTAGAATATATATTGAACAAAGTGCTTCAAACATATTCCATAATATCTTCCTATCTATATAATAAACAAAGTGTTCATGTAGTCTCCTTGTGAAACAGTCTAAATCAGTGTCTTCTTAGAACTCACCCATATCAAAGCACAACACCTCCACCTAAAATCAGAGACTCCTTTCTAATTCTTAGACCCGATGTCAAACAAAATAAATTGTCATAGAGAAAAATTTGAAGTGATGTATACTGAAAATGCCAATTTTTGTCTGGCATCTAAGATTCAAAAATGTCCGACCATGAAAGGGTTAAGAGACAAATTTGCAGATGACCTTGCAGTAGAGGTACAGCAAAATTACATTTTGAGACCGAAACTGAAAATTAAAAAAATCTCAGGCCGAAACCGAAAATTATTTTTTTTCTACCCTTTTTAAAAAAAAAAAAATTTCAATTTCTGTTTTCCTAAACGTTTACATTTTTTAAAATAGTTTATTTATTTTATTAAATATTTTTATTTTTTTACTTTACTGTTGTGGGCTCTGGGGAAATATCAGGGCTCTAAACAGACCCCGGATATTTCCTTTTTTTTTATCATATACATTTTTATTGGTTTCATCACGGAAGACAATCGACAGTACATAACATAACAGTATTCGATGCGAAGACCGTAATATTGACAAAAGAACATGTGTTATCAGATGTTACATATGGGTTATAGATCTGGTAATGGGTGGTCATAGATCGAAATCTATCCTTTCGACGGGATATCTAATGTGGATACACAGTGGACCATGAGAAAAAGGAGAACATACATATTATATACTGCATCATATTATATATGTATCATATATATACTGCATTTGATCATATGGCATGTTAACCATGTTAGATATCAGATAGATGGAAGAGTCAGCCAGTATGTCCCCCCTGAGGAATGCAGAGTAGGAGATGCTCAGGACTCGCTTCCATATAGCCGTAGGAGTACCAAAATCTATAACATACCAGAGAATGAGGGTCGCTAGGTTTTGTCTAACTTTGTCTGTAGCCAGCCAGTTAGATTCCCAGGTAACGGCACTGCCGAACACAGACAAGACAACACAAGGTGGAGGGGACACACAACTAGAAGAGAGGATCAGAGGGTGGTTGGTGGGTCAGGCGCTAGAGAAGGGGGGGGGGTAAGAGAGGAAGAAAATAAGAAAAAGTGGGTCGGTCTGTACACAGGCGCAAGGGGATCGTGTATAAGGATGGGGTGGCAGAGTAGTTTAAAGAGAGCATAGGCGTCGGGGGGGGTGCCCGGGGCCAAAAAATTGTCTATCCACGGGGACCAGGTATTTTCAAATTTGATCATTTTATCTTCAATTTGTGCAGTCCGTTTTTCAAGCGTCATAATCTAATTGACATGATTTATAACACTGGTTAGGCTTAGTGAGGATGTTAGCCAATTCTTCGCTATCTCCCTTTTGGTTGAGGTGCAGATATGCATGGAAAGTTTGAACTGAGTGCGAGAGAGACCCTCTGGCCTGCAGTTGAGTAGTGCAAAATAGGGGTCCCTGAGTAGGGGCACCGAGAATAGAGATGAGGGGGTATTGAAGATTAGATCCCAGAGGTCAGAGACTTGTGGGCAGGTCCACCAGATGTGGAAGAACGTGCCTTGGTCGGGAAAGCCCCGAAAGCAGTTAGGGGAGCAATCGGGGTTAAAGATAGCCACTCTAGCAGGTACCGGATACCAGGTACCAGCGCATGAGTACCTTATAGTTAATCTCCAGCATGCCTGCACATCTTGAACTACTCCTAGTGTTATCCCAGGATTGTTCCCAGATTTCATCAGCAATTGTCGTCTCAAGATCTTTGTCCCATTGTGTCACATAAGAAGGGGGGGGCCTATCTGTAGGGGAGACTAGTATGGCGTAGAGAAGAGATATAAGTCCAGGTCTATGTGGGTCGTCGCGGCAGATTTTCTTAAAGGGGGTCAACAATCGGGGGCCTCTTTGATTTTGTGTTTATATAGTGATATAGTTTTTGATTTGTAGGTATCTGAATATTTCTGTGTTCGGGATTTGTTTATGTTCCTGTAGGTGCGGGAAGGGTGTCACTCCTGAGTCAGATTGTAGTTGTCAGAAGTAAGTAAGATTTTGTTCGGTCCAAGCCTTGAAGCTTGATGGGTTGTTTAAAGTGGGGACGAAAGAAGGGTTATCAAGTATGGACATGAGCGGTAGATGTGGCGAAAGAAGACTATATTGTGTTTTAATGGAGTCCCAAAGTCTGAGGGAGTGAGAAGTTATGGGATTTGAGATGGAGGGCCTCTGCTTCGGGGCTAGCCATAATAGGCTGGCCACCGATGCAGGCTTCACTAGGGTGCTTTCCAAGGCCACCCATGCGGGGCTTCAAACACCAGTATTTTAATGTCGTCATTGAGTAGGGAGATCGGTCGGTAATTGGAGGGATTAGTGTGGTCTGAGGAGGGTTTGGGTATCATGCAAATCGAGGCAGTAAGGGAGTCAGGGCCCCAGGATCCGCCTCCACGGAGGGAATTAAACGTTTCCGTCAGTATGGGAGTTATGAGATCTTTGAAGGCAACATAGTAGGCTGCCGTAAAACCGTCCACCCCCGGTCTCTTGCCACGGGGTAGTGATTTGAGTACTAGGTGAACTTCTTGCTCTGTGATGGGTTCCTCAAAGGAGGCTATTTGGGAGGACGTGAGAGAGGGGAGGTCCAGGTCTTTAAAGAATCGGTCAGCTCGGTCTATAGAGAAATTATCTTGGGAGGCGTACAGGTCTAAGAGGTGTTGCTGGAATATGTCAAGGACTTTGGTTGGAATACTAGTATGAGATCCTGCAGGGGTTCGTAGTCTGACAGGTTTAAATGTCGGGTCTAAACGCCTTAGTCTGGAGGCTAGGAGAGAATCTGCTTTGTTGCTTTTAAGGTAGAATTTATGTGCAGTACGGTGAAGTTGTTTGGTGGCATGATCGGTGAGTAGAAGATTCAAGGCTTGACAGGGCGATTCTAAAGCAGTTTTATTAGCTGGAGAGGGATCCAATAAGAAAGTGAAAGAGCTTTCGTTGAATTCTCTCTCAAGAGAGTTTAGTTGTCGCAGTCTTTCCCTCTTACGTTGAGAAGACAATTGAATGATCCGACCTCTTAGGACTGGCTTATGAGCCTCCCAAAGGAGGACAGGAGAGATTTCAGGGGTGCGATTAAGTTGGAAATAGTCCGAGAGGTAGGATTCAAGCAGGATCTTGGTGGCAGGGTCAGTGAGAAGGGAGTCATTCAATGTCCAGGTCGGTGAGTTGGGGGTGGGGTGTAAGGCAGGGAGAATCATGGTGACTGCTGAATGATCAGACCATGGGATCGGCAGGATGCGGGAGTGGAGGATGTGGGGCGTCAGGATGGTGGAGGCAAAAATATGATCGATTCTGGAGTGGACAGCATGGGGGTGGGAATAATGTGTGTAGTCAGTCTTATTAGGGTTAATTTCTCTCCAGCAATCCACTAGTGAGTAGGAGGATATTAAATCTCTAAAGGGCCGTGCCATGTGCAAGCAGGCTGGAGAAGTTCTGGACTTATCTCGATGCGGGTACAGTACCATCTTGGAATCCCCACACATGATGACTGCGCCCGTCGAGCGGGTGTGTATCTGTTCCAAAAGATCCCGTAAGAAGTCTAGTTGGTTCACATTGGGAGCATCGTATGAGATAAATGTAATCTCTTGATCATCTAGGAGACCCGTGAGGATCAGGTAGCGACCCTGAGGGTCCCGGGTCTCCGAGTGACACGTGAAATTGGCTGATCTGCGGAAGCCGATCAGGACCCCTCTCTTTTTGCATGAGTCATTGGCCATGTATATCTGAGGAAATTGGGCACTGAAGTATTTGGGGCAGGATGTTTTGGAGAAATGGGTTTCCTGAAGAAAGATTACGTTTGCATGGGAGGATTGTAAAAATCTGAAGGCTCGCGTCCTCTTGTTAGGGGAGTTGAGGCCCTGTACATTCAGGCTCAGTATTTTAAGAGACATAATGGAGTAAACGTTGGTTGTGTTTAAGGTACTCACCCAGCCTAAGATCAGGTAGCGACCCTGAGGGTCCCGGGTCTCCGAGTGACACGTGAAATTGGCTGATCTGCGGAAGCCGATCAGGACCCCTCTCTTTTTGCATGAGTCATTGGCCATGTATATCTGAGGAAATTGGGCACTGAAGTATTTGGGGCAGGATGTTTTGGAGAAATGGGTTTCCTGAAGAAAGATTACGTTTGCATGGGAGGATTGTAAAAATCTGAAGGCTCGCGTCCTCTTGTTAGGGGAGTTGAGGCCCTGTACATTCAGGCTCAGTATTTTAAGAGACATAATGGAGTAAACGTTGGTTGTGTTTAAGGTACTCACCCAGCCTAGATGCCCGAGGGATCATAGTTTTTGTCGATGTCACCCGTGCACAGCTTAATCTAGAGCTTGACTGCTGGACCCAAGAGGAGAGAAAAGGGGGAGAAGAGATGGGAAAACAAGAGGGGAGGGGATACACAGGACAAGACAGATTAAACATCAAAACATACACAAGAACCGGCAGTGGATAAAATCCACAACACACTCGGAACATTGGGTGGAAGGAACCTAAATGTCTCGTTCCACCCAAGGTGTCCAAATTATGGGGAGCACAGTGACGCACTCACCCAGGCAAAGTTATCTATGAAGGAAAACAAATTGGGAGTTCACCCGAACCATAAACCCGTCAAGGGGACTATTAGTACAAAGTAGTGCAACCTAAAAGAGGCATCTGATGTTGC